ACTGAAACGACGCTGCAAATCACTCCATATATCACGAGTAGTGGCGGCTGTGCGCACGCTGTTCCGGAGCTCACGGGACATGGCTGTCTTGAGCCAACCCTTCACGGTCGCATCACATCTATCCCAGGCGTCTTGCTGAAGACCGAGATTAGCTTTGGTGCGAGGGAAGGAGCCATCGACAAAGGCCATCTTATTCTTGGCGATGAGTGTCTCAGTAAGATCACTGACCCATTCACCATAATTCAAATCGGTTAGCAGATCACTGCCAAACAATTGCGCAGGGTTCTCCGAGGGATGAAGATAAAGCGGAGAGCTAACCGGGATCGGGCTATCGCCAGAGGCATCAACACCCGAGCCGCAGCTAGAAGTCTCGTTGGTCTTCCCCATGTCGAGAGAACGAGAGGTTGCTGAACCTTACGACTCTGATACCATGTAAATACTTGTAAAACGCGGAAGAATAAAGAACACGAGGGTTTAACGTGGTTTCCCCGAGTACCGGGACTACTCCACGGAGAGCAGCGCTCTCAAGCAAAGCTTCACTAATTTGATATTTGTTACAGGGAGAAGCCAATCTCCATCACTTAAGTACCAGGAGAATGGCGGCTGACCTACTCGACTAATGCCACAAGCAGCTAGGGTTTTAGTGGCAAATAACAGAAGTGGTCCTCCATATAAATTAAATTACAAATTAATGCAACTCCGCCCAATATACAATTTCACCTGCCATGAGAGTTTACAGTGAAGCTTCATCACTTCTAAATTCCCTTGCGTGACTGTCTGATTTATCTTTCGGTTTTGCCTCAATGTCATCTTTCGGTATTGCTTACGTAAGTGTGCTTTATGAATTTATTTGCTTGTTTTCGCTCTATGTAATCTGCATATGATTTCAAGTGTCCTGCCTTATTTTCAACAGCTTAGTTATGTTTGTTAGCAGATCCTTTCATAATTATATGGATATTTGCAAGAGTTGCAAAAGAATGAGATCTATATGGTTTTGGATAGTATCTTAATTTCAACTTTCAAGATATATGAATGCTCTTTCATTCCATATCAGTTACCTTCAACCCTAATCTTTTCATCATCACATGTTTAACGATACAATTAGAAAACATATTTTTAGGTGTCGTAGGCCTTATTGTAGTTTTGGCTTCTGTTTCTTGGTGGTTCACTAGGTAAGGCAGGTTCCTCAGGGTTGATTTGGCAATCCGTAGCTAAAATGTTGACGTTGAATGATCTGTGCCTTTTCGTCGAGCAGCTTGCTTTGGCAGAACTATATAAAAATGATACGATTACCTTAAATATATCAACTTAATTAGTTGCTTTCTTTGAAAAATCCTTATATCATTTGTGTTCAAAGAGCTGTATTGGACATATTAATCTCCCAGTAGGTGTTGATGTACTCATTTTGGGGCATCTTAGCTTTTGGGATGTAAACTATTTTGACTTACCATTTTTTGATTCTCGCCAAACTATGTGCAGTTCGCACACGAATTGCACTCCATCTGCCCTTGATTTCTGTTGTTTCCCATAATAAAACTTATGTTTACTTCTTTATATCAATATATACTTTGTTTCCTCTTGGATGTGTCTTAGCTGTGCAAATGACTGCAACTAATTTCTATTGTTTCGCAAACTAAAACTTTTGCTTACTTCTTTCTATCAATTTATACTTGGTTGCCTTCTGGATTTTGGAAGACCAGTAACACCAAATGTATCTAATTGACTGCTTCAGATAGTAGAATCATAAGATGAGTGGAGATTTTATATTTAGGGTATTTGTTTTCTTAGAACCCCCTATTTGCATCGTATTACAAATTTGAGACTCTAGCTCATCATTTTGTTGGAAGCATTAATTTTTTAGGATCAAATTTCACTTATTTGGTTTCAGTTTGTTTCAAATATTTGGTGTAGATCTTTGGAGATGATATTAGGGGAGCACAATGCAGTAAAGTTTTGTTTCAATACTTTGTACTTTATTTAGGAGTTACTTATTAAATCCATCATTCATGTACTTGGAAAAATCACCAGAGCTAAAGAGAAAGAGAAGCTCCAATTGTTAATTGTTGCATTCATCCGCTTTAATAACCAATAAGTTTCTTTGCAATTAGTTTTTTAGTTACTACTTATGCATGCTTTCCTATATTTGAAAGTTATCCAGAACAAGTTCATTGGGGATTTTACATATGAACCAGCCACAGTTTCTGACTTTTGTGAGTCCATAAACCTTAATTTCTCTCAACTGGATGTCCACGTTATGGTAATGAAGTCTTCCAAAGTTAATATTTCCTTGCCAATCTTGCCAACAATTGATGGCCTGTGTTTCGTTATTGTTTCACCATGATTTACTTCTATTTTACTTAAGAAAAATGCTTACCTCTTCTCTGGCCATGTAAAGGAGGTGATCACCACTTCGTAGTGCACTATTTCCAATTTACATTTCATCCACCTGAGAGTTTAGGTGCAACCAGTGAAGCTAAGTCATTTTCTGCTGCCAGGGTTTGATACAAATTGCTGCTTTAATTGCCAAGGACAATTGCTTCCTTAGGTTTTCATGTCCTTTATGAAACAAAGCTTAAGGAGTCTCCTTTGATCTTATTTGGGGACTCATGTTTCCTCCTGAATATGTGTGGTTTATCGTCTGTTAAATCGTTGGGGTGTTTGGTTTAGTATTTGCATCTAATAAATCGTTGTGGTTAGGTTATTCTTAGACCACAGGTCACCATTTCCCACATTATAAGGTGTGAAATGATTGATATAGTTGCTAAAACTGAAGCATTTGATGTGTGTGTCTGATTGACCTGAAACTGAATCTGTCTTGCAGAAACCACCCATCATTCGATTGGGTTGAGCAACCTGTAAAAGAAGCCTGCAGTGTTGAGGTATGAATGATTGCTCCCCAACAATCAATACAGTCTTTTTTACATGCTTTTTATACTTCCTGTGATATCCCATGTTGTGGCCTTAGTTTGGGAATGAATGATGGCTCCATTGTTATGCGTTTTACAACATCTTTCCCTGATCAAGTTGTCCAGGGTGTCCAAATGAGTTCCTACTATTAGCTATCAAGATTGAAGCCATGGGATCTTTGCCCCTTCTCTGAACATGCTCAATGTCTTACGAAAGTTGAATGGAAGCAAAATTCCTTATTTCTTCTATGTTAACTCAAGTCGCACCCTACAAATCCAACCCTCTGTCATGGGTTTCCCCTTTCCGACTACCAGACTCCTAGAACACCGCCCATGATATCCTAAGTGCTGCAGCAGGTGATGACGTTGGCGGCTCAAAAACTCATAAACAAAAACTCCTAATCAGTACTCCTTTCAATAGTATACTATTCTATTAGTTGGCTTCTCTTCCTATTCAGTAGAAGCTTTGGCTGGAATTAATAAACATTGTTTGATTAATCTGTCTAATTCTTTTTTATGCTTGATAGAAATGGATTGAAAAGAAGTCAACTATGATATCATTTTGTGATGTCCTTAATTCACTTATAAGTTGTTTTCGTTTCTGTAATTGAAAGCGTTAAGCTAAACTAAAATGAAACTCGATTATGGGATAGAGTTGCTCAATCTAGAGAGTTTGTTGTGCGTTTCTGCCTGATCTGGAACTCTGTTTGCCTTGCTGAAAATGCCAATCATTCGATCAAGTTGAGCAACCTGTATAATATCTAATTGCAAGCAAAAAGGTATAGTAGGTTCCTTGGTGGTTGGTTTAGCCATCCATCTCTTGAACATTGACTGTATGTGACATGTCTTTCCAACTACCTGCACATTGACCTGTAGGCTTTAAATGATATCAGATTGGTTAGCTTCTTTGCAACAAAATTTACTTAATTGTAATTGTCATGGTTCGTGGACAGATGTATGTTGGATTCAGGCCGACTCTGTTGGAGAATATATCATTATCCTGTGGTTTGAGAATATGTTCTCCTTTCTCTATCCATTTAGCTGGAATTGTTAGGCTTGGTTCAACTAGGAGTTTTTAGTTTTACTGGTTGAGCAGAGATTAATCTGAATTGATAAGGGGAGTTAATGGTGTTCTCTTTCTGATCTCATGTAATTATATAATGAAGTTGAAGTTTTTCGATGCTATTCAATTTCATTGGTATGTTTTTAATGGTCTAACTTCATGGTTGTACCAACTTCTGATGTACTGTTTATGTTCCAATATATTCACTTTGGTATGATTATTAGGGATATGCTAGGCGGTACTCACCATTAGGCCAATTTAGCTTAATGGTTGAATCTACGGATTATCCCAATAATTCAATATTCGGCTGTTATAAGCTATTACATTTTAGGCTCAGCTCCTCCGACCAATGGGTCGGGTTATAAGCTATTACATTTTAGGCTCAGCTCCTCCTACCAACGGGTCGGGTTATAAGCTATTACATTTTAAAGAGTTTGATTTGCTCCATTTCAAATTTCCTGCAACGAGAGTGAAAGTAGGAAGGGTATTTTCGTCTACACAATCAATTTTTTATTTCATATAAAAACATATCAATGATAGGATTTGAACCATGGTCTCTTCCATCAAAGACAAGAACTATAACCAATTGGACTAGACACATTTCTTGTACTTTATTGATACAAAACATAGAGGAAGTTAAAATTATGAAAACAAAGTACTTTTCTATCATGGTTAGTTAGCTCGCTAAGTCTCCTGTAAGTATTTTGTGGTGTTTGATAATTCTATTTTCATATTTTAATAAGGCCAAATTCACTTGCATAGCCAAAACTTTGACGGTTGTGACAAATATAGCCACTTTTTGGCGAAATACCAGAAATAACCAAGATTTTGAAAGTCCGATGACAAATATAGCCATTTCCGTTAAATAGTTTGACGGCGTCAATGACACCGTTAGTCTATTTAACGGACAGATGATGTGGCTGCCACCTCACCTTGTGTTTCCTTCCCACCTCAGCATCTATTGACATGTGGGATGCCACGTCATCCTTAATGGGTAAAAAAAAATCTGTTATTTGTTTCATTTCCCCAATTCAAACCCATTTAGGGTTTCTGCTCTTCTCGACGAACCTCCTTTCCGCCGATTGAAGCAGCACTCGTGGACGACTTTCCCCGCTCCGCCGCACTCGTGGACGACTTCCCCCGCTCCGCCGCACTCGAGTCGACGACTTCCCCCTTTCCGCCGCACTCGCACTCGAACGTCGACCCAGCATCGAACGAAGACCACCCCGCCGCCTCCCTTTCCTTTCGCGTCGACCCAGCCTCAAACGAAGACCACCCCGCCGCCTCCCTTTCCTTTCGCTAACGACGGCCCCCGCGACGACCCCTTCCTCGTCTTCACTGTTTCTCGCCATCCACGACCGCCGCAGATCGGCGAAGACCCCTTCTCCTACGTCATGTCTCACCGGGGTGGATCATCTTCCAGAAGCGAGAACAGCATTGGGGTAGTCTGTTGCTACCACAATCTTCCTGCTGTGACTAATAGAGCCGGTAGTGAGTCCAACTCAGGAAGGAGATTCTGCGGATGCAAGTTTTGGATGGTAAAGGAGGTTGGCAGAATCTTCATTTTCCAGTTGTGTATGTTTGAGAGTTGTGACCATACACTCTGTTGATGCAGGTACCAAAAAAGAACTGCAATTTTTTTAGGTGGGTGGATGGGGCGGTGGATGAAGGCGATGCCTCAAACTCTGGCATAGACAGTACAATTCTTAATCTACAAGAGAAGTTACGGTTGGCTGAGGCTAAGGCAGAGAGAAGGAAGAAAAAGAGAAAAATTGTCGTCCAAGAGCTGAGGAAGGTTAACAATGATGTTCGTGTCATTCGACATATGTTCGCCGTAATTATTTTTTTGAATGTAGCGTTACTTGCCGTAGTGTTGGCCAATCGCAGCAGTATGATTTAGGAAGATTTGTTCTAAGTTAGTGTTATGTATTGTTATGACAAGTAGTGTTTCTCGCAAGCTATGCAGTGTTTATGAATTGAATTGGCAAGTTAGTGTTCTGAATTTGGCATGACTGTTTAGTGTTAGTGTTATGTATTGAATTGGCAAACCTTAACATTCATAACCTGATGCATCTGTTTAACAAGGCAGGACTTAACAACCAAAGGAGATACCATAAATTACATCCATTGTTTTCCATCCTAACATCCATCTACTAACATTCAGAAATTCCATTACATCCAAAGTTTGTCATCCTAACATCCAGCTACTAAAACTAATCCGAAAGGTGGACAAGGTGGACATAGACCATGAGTCACATAACAAAAAAAGTTCCACCGAGTGCATCCATAACACGCATTGTTTCCAAAAATGTGACTCATGGTGACTTTGGCATCTAAGGTTGTGTCGGAGGCGGCTGGCTTCCTTGAGCATCCATCTCAGTTGGCTGAGTACCTCCAGCAGGACGACCCCGTGATCCATTCAACTGAAACAGATTATGAAGTTAGCAAAATCTCACAACAATGGGGTACCAACCATCATTCCAACGAAAGAGCATAACTCAATCTTACCCTCACGTATTGGTTCCCAGTTGCCTCACTTACATACACCCCTATCCCTCTTGTGGCAATTCGCATCTCACGCTCAATCGTCCTTCGATCTCCCACATTCAACACAACATCCTAGAATTAAAATGACCACACATTATTCCACACAACATTCAAATTATCCTAACATTCGTTATTTTTTTCTTACCTGTATTCCATTTCCTCGGTTGAGGGGGCAGGTTCTCGCATTATGGGTCGCTGATTGACACTTAGAGCAATGAAGAACTCGCTTTCTCCTTGTGTCGGGGACAGTTGGGGCAGCAGCACTGTTTCCAGCTGGAACAGTAGGGCCAGCAGTATTGTTTCCTCCACGAGTAGCCCTTCTTGGTGCTGTTCGAGCACTTCTTGCTTCATTCCGAGTGTTAGCCTGAAAAGTAGAATGGCCCAATGTTAGTAAGAAATAAATTAATTGTAAAATATTTCATGTTCCAATGAAACTGATGCATACCTGAATCTCAGCTGCTGTAGCTTTACAGCCCCTCGAGTTATGCCCCTCAGCACCACATTTCTTGCAATGTATGATACTCCCCCTTCTAGTTACCTCCTCGCCAACCCCATTACGCTGAGGTCTCGTTTCCAACTCGTGAGCAGCCCTTCGTCGCTTCTTCTTAGGCCTTCCCGGCATGGGTCTTTGCTTCGGAGGATGAACTGGAAGACCAATAGCATCTGGCCAAGCCTGCCTACCATCTAAGCAAGGGATGCCAATCTTGTAGCCTAACTCGACATGGTAGGCCTTGTAACAAGGATGTACATAATCGTCCACCTCCTTCCTCATATGTGAAATTGCCGAGACAGCATGGCAACAAGGCAGCCCACTCAATTGCCAGTATCCACATGTACAGCTCCTATCATTTAGGTCCACTATGTAGCCATTCTCACCCATCTTCACTTCACACTTATCCGCCAATGTCTGCCTAGCAATGCACAACCTAGCCAATTCCTTTACTTTCTCAACCCTCTTCCTAATTCTAGGGCACAGCATATCCGGGCTGTCCATCAACATGTTATACTTAATTACGAACCTATCCATCATGTAACACCTAATACCCTCTAGCATGTCGATTATTCTCAAGCCCCTATACTTCACAATTGTCCCATTAAAGAAACAACCGTCAAAACCGATAATTGGCCGGCAAGCGAGAAGAAAACCGTCTCGGATGTTTGAGAACATCACAAACATCCTTTGAAAGTAGACCTTTTCTTGTGTGGGATGCGGTTCAACCTCTAGCTCGAACCGGCCTAACCTGTCTCGTTTCTTCAGCTCACCCAAGTATGACCGTAGCCTCGTGTACTCATCTTTCAAAGAGCCACTAAGGAGTCGAATGGCTACCACTTTCGCCCTGTAACATGTCCTTCTTTTAACCTCGATATTGTGCTTCAGTTTCACTTCAGCCATGATCTGCTCTGGGGCCCATTCAGGATTGATCCTGAACCTCTCTAGCATGTCCATCGCAATCCACTTCGCCGTAACTTGATTCACCCGAAGCTTTCTTGAACATGAATGTGGCAGCCCTACCTTTCTTACCATAAAAGTCTGGTTCTTCCTAAACCAGCTTGCATACACCTTCCATTTACAGCTCTCGTTCTTACACTTCACTTCCCTCCTCGTAGGGTTAACCCTTGTCCACCTCAAACCTGCCCCATTTGCTACAGAATGCTTCACCACCGCAGTCTTAAACTGGTCAGGATCCTTGAATCTCATGCGAGCCACAAACTCGAACTTACCCTCACAATGAGGATCGTAGTGTGGTGCGTTGTCGAACACATCAGCACTAGCCTCATCAGATATGTTACCTCGCACGTGGTCAGACTCCTCGGAAAGTCTGTAGCTCGAATGATTACTTGTCTGCTTACGTGCTTGCTCAGTTGGTGGCACTTCCTCAGTTTCAGAATCTTCTATTTCCTCTTCATTCACATCAAGGTTGTCAACCCCAGCTTCTTCAACCTCTTCCTCATCAGATTCCACCTCTTCAAACTCGTCCAACTGCTCCACCTCCTCCCCATGACCATCAGCCCTCATTCTCACCTTTCTCTTCCGCATTTCTCCATATGCCCGAAGGTTGTTCCTTGCCTCATGGTACTCATCGTCGGATGTGTCAGCATCATCGGAGTCGTAAACATGGATCATTGGTCGAGCCACAGAAGCAGCAACTGTTCCTTCGTCTGCTGATAGGTAATCAGCAGAATTCACTACCTCATTTGGGTCATTCTCTTCCATTGAACTCACCATCTGTTACAAGGAAAACACATTCAAATACTATTTTAATCACAATTACTATTATAATCACAATGTTAATGCATTTTAAATCAGTAAAGCACAAAGGAATCATCACCAACAAACATTATTCTATCCTAGGGTTTTCCAAAGGCAATGACGATTCTGCCCAGTAGCTTTCCAGTTGCTTACCTTCGAATTCAAGGGCAAACTCGAGAAGACAAGAATTCCAGTGGTCCCGAGGAAACCCCTTTGTGTCGCTTTTTGTCTTTAATACCAGGTACGCACTATAAAAGGAAGAAGCAAACCAAAATTTACAACACTGCAGTTGAAATTCATCTCATCTGAGCTCAGTGAAGTTGTCTCGACACTTACCAGTCGACTGAAAGAAAGAAGCCCAGAAATCGCCCTTGTTCGAAAATCAACAATCTTCAAGATTAGGGTTTTTAGGGTTCGGGAAATTTTTGCCTGTCTTCTCGATTCCCCCTCACCAACAGCGAATCGCGATGCCAGAACGTGGAGAGGATCTATGAAACCCCGCGCGGCATGGCCGATTCCATGGAAGGAGGCTCGGGAAGATTTTAGGGTTCGGGAAGGAAGCTCGGGAAGATTTTAGGGTTCGTGAAAGGAGGAAGGGGGTTTTGCTTCTCGTGGTGGGTTCGTGGTTCGGAAAGGCTCTCGTCGTCGTCGACGACTACCGCCGCCGATCTGGAGAAGGGGGAGCGTCGTGCTTCGTTCGTCGGAGAAGAGGGATTTTCTCTGGAATATCGACTCGGGGAAAGGGAAGGGAAAAATGAAAACGATAGAAAGTGACTGAGGAGTAAAACGTCTCATTTACCGTTGCGACTTTTTTTTTCCACGTGGAATTCACTTGTTCGGCGATAAAAGCCACGTCGGTTGGTCCGTTTGTCCAGTCAGCCCGTTAACTTACACTGTCAAACAATTGGACGGAAGTGGCTATTTCTGGTATTTCGCCAAAAGTGGCTATATTTGGCAAAACCGTCAAAGTTTTGGCTATACAGGTGCATTTGGCCTTTTAATAATTAATTTAGAATTTTTTCTAACTTATAAATGAAGGATAATCTTAAAATCTCAAAACAAATATCATTGGTTGGAAAATTGCGCATTGAATTGAAGTGTTCAATGACGACATAAGAACATTGGTACCATACATTTCAAGAAAAATAAACATGACAAACATCGATACTAATTATCTCGACAGTGTATGCTAAAATTCGAATTTGTTTAATAATTCAATTTGAGTGATAGTTTAGTCAAAGCAAGCAAATCATTCACGATTGTGTATAAACAAAAATAAAAACATATGGATTGTATCATAAAAATGTATTTATTTTAATAATCTAAAAAAAAACAATCAAGACTTCCATATACAAACCTTTATTTCATCATTGTAATTGATGAAACATTTTTATCAACATCATGCAATGTTCAAGCTAAGGTCCCATTATTAATCACCAGTATATAGTATTCGGCTTAGTAAACTATTTCAATATCCACAGCTAACTATTAATGATTACTTGCTTTCTGTTTGCGAGTTTGATGTAACACTATCATGCCTACACTCTAAGCATTTTTTTCTTTTTTCCAATAATTTTTGCAGTTATTTGTTAAATCAACTATGTTTCTAGCTTTCCATTCCTAATTATTCACTGCTTCCTACCAACTTATGGGAATGGTGAATATTTTTTTCATGTATAATCTATTGACTATGAATGTTGTTTATTACTTAAATTCAAAGGTATCCATGTTAGGTTTGACGTCTCCAACATATTCTCACAATTTCTCGAAAAAGCATCATATCTTGCGATTGATATCATAGTTTTGTTAGGTAAAGTTCAACAAACTCAATCAATATTCGAACTCTTTGAAGTAGCTATCTACATGTGAATATGAAGTATTGAGTAGCTAAAACTCTACTTGAGTTAGTACGATCTTTTGTTCTATCAATTAAAATTCAATACATGATTATCTTATTACACTTTAGTCATACTAATTGTGCAGTAGGGGACATCTTATCAGAATCGTATCGAAAGACTCCTTGATTGATCAATTTCAGGATGTAATCAATTATACCAAATAGAAGTGATCAAATTTATATGATGCTCTCTAAGTTTGCTATACTTATTGAGGTTCAACAACACGTTAATCTAAGGTGGTCATTGGGCATTTGTTTATCTCCTAGCTCGCCTAGACACGCTTAGATGTTGTAATAAAAATAGTAATTTTTAATAATGATGAATGAAGTAATAGTTCTGAAGCACTTTCATAATTCAGTTCAAATGATTTAACAACAAGCAAAATAACTCTCAAGTTTATAATTTTTTATACCAAATGATATAATTAATTCATTTATGAGCTGAAATAGCTAATTATAAGCACTTGAATTATTAAGTTAAAACTCATATGATACAATTGTTTGACGAAATGGTTTTTATCATAGAGTGGTTCTATTGAGAGAGGTTTCTAAGAAACATGGCTTACTTTATTATTTCTTAGGTAGATATAATATATATCTTTTTCGTTACTTTTACAATGGATTCAATTTAGTATACTTTTTCGTTTAGATAGATTTTTTTAATGATTTTTTGGGATATAATATATCATTATTGTATGATGGTGTAGGATATTAGTTCCTCTCATTTTAGGTTCAAATTGATGCATTTTCCCCTTTATCGTTCCCTTTTATCAGTTAATAATTTTTATGATATTTTTCACTATGAAATATCGTGAGCAGAATCTATACACAACAATTTGTGTTTTTTTCGCTTCCTCTTCTCTTGATTAGATATTGTGTCCATATTGATTATTGAATTACTACTTTTTTGTTCTGAAGTTTATGAAACTAAGATGCATTTTTTTAGAAACATGAAACTAAGATGCATATTAATAAAGAATGTAAGGTGTCATCTTCTCTCTTAAAACTTAAGCACTACATATCATTGTTTACCTACTGTTAAATCAATGTCTTTCTAACTTGAGTACGACCTAAAATGACTTTTATTGTTGTAGATTTTTCCCAAAATATAAGGTATGTTGCTTTTAGTTTTCACATTCTTTTCAGTTTGATTTAGCTTTTTATGTGTTGCTCTATTAGTTGAACTTGCCAGTTGGAGATCTGCATGCTTCGACTTCATTGATGTCACAGTGACTTCTATATGAAATGCCACTCGAAACATGAGTGTGTGATTTAGTTTGTTTCTTATTAAGGACACTCTAAACATATACTTTGTTCCAATATATCATTGAATACACTAAAGTCAATGAAAAAGTCAAAACATTTTATCGTATACTGAAGATTGATTATGCATGTATGATGTAAAACAACTCTTACCATTGTTCTTCTTAGACGTTTTTATATCAATACGACTTCGTTTGAAAATTGTATTTATGTTAGTGTAGTTGGACATTGTTCGTCATTTTTAAAACTTCGTTAGTCAAATACATTAAATACTTTCTTATATTATTAATGAAAAACTTACCAAACTAAATATTTATTTCAAACTCCAACAACATGAACCATAACAAAAATATATACTTACACTTATACATGACAACATGAGAATCAAACTCTCTCGGCCAAGAGGCCGGGCCATGATCTAGTTCTTGCTAAAATATGTGTACACATAAGAATATAAATAGATAAAAAAGAACACTAGAAACTAAAAATAAATTGTTAATTTCCATACACATCCATATTAACAAAATAATGTTTACACAAAAATCTTCTACAAGCACTAAACAAGCCAGTTCGTGAGTTTAGCTCAACAAGTCACCGAGTCAAACTAGCTCACAAGCTGAGCATGGTCTAACTCAAACTTGACTCGTTCACTAACGAATCGGCTCGCGAACCGGCTTGTTAACTTACAAGCTGAGTGTCAAACAAGTTTTTTTCCGATTCGAACGCCGAATTGCTGGTGAGCGGCTTGGCTCATTTGCATCCCAATGAGCACTATTGCAAGATACAAACACACAGAAGACCGGCCAAATTTGAAGACCAAAACACAGCTGAATTATGTTGGAATTCCTTTTCATTCAAGAATTTATACAACTGCTGAATGGGGAAAGGATGGACCGATGGAGAATCAACCAACTCTTTATCATTCCTCGACTCTTATGCTTTATTACAAAAAAATTCCACATTGAAAATGTAGGATTGGCTACTCCACTGGTAAGCGATAGCTCCGGCCAGCTGCGTGCTGCTCCCTCCTTGACTTGGAATTCGAAGAAATTTTCAAGCTGCACTCCAGCAATACGATTCCAGAAAACCACAAGTAAAGCAACAGAAAAATAAGGAATCATCAATGGAAGGGAAAATAGTAGCCTCAGAGATGTTGGTGGTAAGGAATCATCATTGATGAGAGTCATGAGACAAGCTCACTGTCAAGAGTAGCAAATATATTGATTCTACATCACCGGCCCATTATTATTGATTGTTCCTCCCAACCCAGTTTAAGTTCAATACTTTACTAGAACGATTTGAAATACAAAAATGAAAAGAACAGCTGCGGGCAGGGAGTGCATGGAGGCGGATGAGGAGAAGGGTCAGAAGTAGCTGGTGAGTAATCACTATAGATTCAGTGGGAATCCGTCTGATTTCTTTCATCACCCCCCTCTCCTCTCCTCCCCTCTAAGCTGCTGCTGCGGCTGCTTTCTCAACCGGAAGCAAATACAGCATGTTAAAGCTTTTTTTTTTTAAAGAAAGCCCCGAAACCAAGAGAAGAAAGAAAATTTGCGGGGAAAGAAGCCTATGTATCAACCTTGTCACCGACAATCCCCAGGGGAGGAAAGTCGGAGCTAAAAGGCAGAGGCGCAGTGGAGTCTATAATCCACGGCGCACTCTTTCACTTTCGCCTAACGATAGATTCCCTTTAGAGATCTACTAAGGGACCGAAATCGAGATCAGGGAATTGCAATATCAGGCGCAAACGATAACTAACTCAAATACAGACACAAGGAAAGAAAAGTAAGCAGCTCCGCAAAATCAAACCCAGAGAATTGAGGGTGGTTAAGAATCCTGTATCCAGAAAGAACAGGTTTTGCTTCTTTCTCCTCCCCAATCCCCAACTGGCAGCCATGAGTACTGACTGCTGCCACTTCTTCACTTTATATAAGAGAGAAACCAGGGCGAGGGAGAAAGAGAGACTGGGAGAGACAGCTAGGAGCTAGCTAGGGGAGGGAGACACTCGTCTTTACTCTTGAGTCTGAAGTCTGAACAAAACCCTAGTCCAGCCCAGTTAGAAGAGCCGTAGCTCGAAAAATAGCCCGGCCCAGTCACAAATTACCTACCTACCTATCTATCTATCTATCACTATCAGGCCTCTAAGTCTGGGAGATTTTTACCGAAACTTTTGGGACAGCTGCTGCTGCTGGCACAGTGAGCAGCTCTCTTCTGCTGCTGTTTTGCAACATCCATCGTAAAATCAAGATGGGCAGACGAAGAGCTTGCTCGCTCATTCTCACCGAGTACCACCAACTAGTCTAGCCTAATGTCAATTTCCAATACCAATACCACCACCCACCAAAACGCTGTAGCAGTTAGAATCTCCTCACTCCTCAGCATACCATACTCTTGATATTAGTAAACGGTATATGATCACGATTGAACCTTTCCCAACAACTCGAGTTATTGGAATCAACTGGTTCTTGACATGGTATCAGAGCATCCTAATCGCCATGTTGCTGTACGGAGCACGTGGTTTTGTTTCTGTGTTTCGACGATGCTATTCGGAGCATCCTGATCGCCATGATGCTGGTATTCTTGTGAGTGGCTTCAGACCTGTGCAAACTTTAAGCTCTTGTGAGTGGCTTTCGTTTGAGGGGGTGTGTTAGTGTTGTGGTATATGATCGACGATTGAATCTCTCCCAACAACTCGAGTTATTAGGATCAACTGGTTCTTGACACTTGATACCCACCACTTGATGCTTCTTCTACTGCTCTGATGAAATGGGTTTAGTGAGCTAGCGGCCTCCCCATAGTTGTTTCTTCTCCTCCATGACATGGTCGTCCGCTCGTTGTTGATATGTTCCTTTGTCAAAGCAAACGGTTGTCAAGTTGTACGTCCTACTCGCCAGCTAAAGTCACCTGAGCTACTTCGAATTCAAAAAGACACTTCATGAATGTTGTCACACCTTAGCCTGAGACATTCGACAGGAAGGAGGAGAAATGGCTACGAATTAGAGAAGATTAACAGAGATAGATGTTAGAAAGAGGAGGGAAAGAGCTGGAAAAGGAGAGAGATAGAGAGAGAATTGGAAAAGTGGAGTTGTTATTCAGGTTGTTAACTATCCGTTACAGACGTCTCCTACTTACATCCCTTCTTCTCATTATTACATTTTCGTCCTTTATCTTCTAACTGCTAACAAACGAGGACAAGGTGTTACAAGTCTCCCTCCTTCACTGAAGACTTGTCCTCAAGTCTGGAATTCAGGATGCTGCTTCTTGAACTGCTCTAGAAATTCCCAAGTAGCGTCAGCCTCGTCCTGATGTGTCCATTGCACAAGAACCTGCGTTGCAGCCTGATTATCTCGAGCAACCACCCTCATGGCCAGTATCTTGAATGGCTCAATCTTCAGCTGCCCTGACTCATCATAATCTGGTAAAGCAGCTTGAGTAGGCACCACAGCAGCAGGTCCACGAGCCATCTGAGCAGGGATACATGGAACACCAGGTGAATGGTGGATGTGGAGGGTAACTTGAGCTCGTAGGCTACTGCTCCTATCTTCTTGATGATTTGAAAGGGCCTATAGTACTTGGTAGAGAGCTTTTGATTCATCCTTGTAGCCCCAGTGACTTGTCTATAAGGCTTAAACTTCAAATAATATCATTGAGTGCAAATTCTTTCTTCGTCCTATGCTTATCAGTCATCTGTTCCTGTCAATTCTGTGCCTTGGCCGAATTATGTCTCATTAATCCAATCGTCATCTGTTGTTACAATTTCTCTGCCACTGCTGCTACTGTTGTAGACAAGGGGTTCTTGATCTCAAAATTAGGGCTGCAAATGAGCCGAGCTGCTCGCGAGCGGCTCGGCGTTCGACTCGAGAAAAGCTCGTTCGAAACTCGGCTCATTGAGCAGCTCAGTGTTCGACTCGAGAAAAGCTCGTTCGAAACTCGGCTCATTAATAAATGAGCCGAACATGAGCTAAGCTTTGTTCAGCTCGTGAAGCTCGCGAGCTAGCTCGACTCGGTGGCTTGTTGAGCTAAACTCGTGAGCTGGCTCGTTTAGAGCTCATGATATGTCTCAACATATGGCTAGAGAGCCAACTCGATTACCGACTTATGGATGAATCAATTTATATCTTATGATTTTAATTCATTTGGTTGTTAAATTATATATCTCACCATATATAAAGTTTAACACGTTGAGTATGTGAGCAAATATATAGTATTTTCTACTTTAAAAAGAAATTATGTATCATAAATTGCTTCGATACTATGAAATAACATGATTTAGAGTAGTTAAAATTTATTAACTAAATGATATATGATACCAACAAAGTATCATATGAGATTTGCTAACAAAATAAATCATATGTATCATGATATGCAAAATGAAGTACCAAATAAAAGTCAAGATTTTATTAAACAAGCTAGCTTGAGCTCGACTCGACTCGGCTCGTTAATAAACAAGCCGAGCTCGAACTCGAATCGTTTATTAACGAGCCGAGCTCAAGCTGGGGTAAAACTCGGCTCGGCTCATTTGCAGCCCTAATCAAAATGCGTGGGTGGATAGCCATACAATGGTTCAAAAGGGGTCAATTGTAGCTATTGTGGTAGTTAGTATTGTACCACCACTCAGCAAGGGGCAGTCAATTGTACCAGTTTTGTGGAGCTGTGCGAGTCATACTCATGAAGTAGTCTTCTAGGCATCTATTAAGTCTCTCAGTCTGTAGGTAGTGGATTAGTGTAGGTCCACTCCCTGCAACTCAAACAGCTTAGACCAGAAGTTGCTAGTAAACACTGCATCTCTGTATGATACAATGGTCTGAGGCATACCATGTAACCTGAAAATTCCTTCACTGAATATATGTGCCACTCCTACTGCAGTATAAGTTCTTGTCAACCCAAAGAAATATCCATACTTTGAAAACGATCCACAACCACCAGTATCACTTCTCTACCCCCAGACTTAGGGATCCCTTCCACAAGATCCATAAAAATGTGTTGCCATGCTCTCTCTGGAATGGGCAGTGGTCGTAACAACCCAGGATATGGTACATTTTCTGATTTACACCTTTGACACACATCACATCGACCAACTAGCTCCTTAACTTGCAACTTAATTCATGGCCACCAAAAATACTTCTTGAGCCTTTGATATGTTGCATGTACCCCATAATGCCCACCAATAGGAGAGTCATGAAAAAAATGGAAGATCTGCACCCTCATGTCTCCGACTGATCCAACATACATAGCATTCTTATGATATTGTAATCCTTCTTTCACACTGTAAATCTGGGGACCTGTGAAAGACACTAATGTTTCCATCGTCAACTCTTGCACCATAGCATCTGTCACATATGTTTTTTCTACTTTGGCCAACCAAGATGGCAACACAGTAGTAATACATTTGCATTCCCCTACCCCATGAAAATCTGGATGCCTGGAAAGAGCATTAGCTACTGATAAACCGTCATTTGTACATGTTATTTTCCACTAATCTTGCACTGTTTGAGAGTTGGTTCTCGTGTTTTAAGTTAATTTCATACTAGATTGTACTTTTATGTTGTATTTCAGGACCTGGAGCGGAAAGGAAGGCTTGGAAGCGAGTTTCGGACCGAAAACACCAAAGAGGCGGAATGAGGAGTGTAAGGGCCAAAATCCCTGGTCTGGTCATCAAAAACCCGACCGAGGAAATGGGCTAGCAACCGGGGAAACGTTGCAAGGAAATTCCCCGGCCTGGACTCCCAATTACCCGACCGGGAATTCCAGGTGGAGACCGGGTTTTTCCCTTTGAGGTTGCGCACCATTTTAAAGAAACCCAACCGGTTCTCTTAAAAACCGGTCGGGTAATTCATCCCAGTTTCGGGCTCCAAGGTTGTTTCAAGCCAATTTCGGGTTTTTGGTTGGGCATTCAAACTTTGGAGTTGAAAATAGAGTTTTAGAGAGAGAAAGTGACGAACCCCCTCTCCAAGGTAACTTAGATTGAGATTCAACACCATTAGAGCTTGATTAAAGCCTAGAGAAGCACTGATTGACAACCAGAAGCCGATTATTATCCTCCACAAGATGATTTCTGTATTTGAAGCTTATTTCTCTTCTCTCTCTATGGAGTAAACTCCCTCTCTCACCTGGGTATGAAGAACCCTATATTTGTATGTTAGGTTTGATTGTATGAACTCAAGTACTTGATCTTTTGACATTGATTATATTCAATTGAGGCATGTTTTCTGAATTACATGAATCCTGATCACATTCTTGTAGTTTATGCTTTGACCTAGAAAGAGAATATCTGCCTAGGTTGATAGAGCACCCTTAATTGAAGGTGGTGAATTGACTACTTTAGTTGAGGAGTCAATTCACTGCTCTGTACTGGATTCATTCTAGTAGAGGAGATTTTGCACGTTAGGGCCTCAGTTTGTTTACTCTGATGGAGGTTAGTCGCCCGCCGGGTATTCAGATTGAGAGGGTCTGGAGAGCTTTAGTCGAGACTTCAGACTGATTAAGAACCTTCCGCATTATAACTGTCATTGAATCTGGACTTGGTGAATTACAACTCGACTTAACTACAATCTAGGAGGAACCATATCCGGGTGACCTCTCTTGAACTTGAATCACAACTTCGTTGCTTTGTGTTTGGTTAGATTAGTTATAACTTCACTACAGTTAAACAGCTAGATAACGAGAATCTTGCAGAGTAGTTATCACACCTAGGACCCGAGTTGACAAATAAAGCTAAACCCACTATACTACGCATTAGTGGGTGGTTACACTTGACTACTTTCTAGTGCGATAGTAAAAGTGACTCAAGTTTTTGGCCGCGTTGCCGGGGACGGCTAGATTGTTGAAGAAACATGGTTTCTGTTACCTTATCATTTCTTTTCTACATTGTTCTATTTGCTTCTTCCCACTTTTTCCTACACTGGGTTTGCTTGCTTAGCTTTGTGCAGACAGTGCATGACCCGTAGTCAATGGGGAGCATTACTACCATTATACCCTGAACTTGAGCAAACTTGTCGCCAGCGTAAGAAATCACAGCGAACGAGACTGGCTACGGCGGAAGAATAGGTTGACGATCGGATTAGCTGTGACTCCGAGTAGGAGGACGACATTGGAGACGAAAACATCCGGATGAACAACTTGAATCAGAGACAGCCTCTAAGGATGGCATTCCGCAGGTAGACAGTGCCAACCATCAACCACCTCCCTAGGGGCATACTATGGAGTACTTCTACATTCCACGGATCGCCGACATCCGCCCAGTCATCCAGTATCCGCCCATCCTTGCCAACAAATTTGAGATCAAACCATGCTAGATCTAGTTGATTACATCCTCCATCCAATTTCATGGGCTCAAGGAGGAAGAGGCAAGAGTGCTCCTTTCTCGGTTCTTGCAACTAACCAACGGCTTCAAGCTGAATGGTGTCCCCGATGATGTGATCCGCCTTCACCTCTTTCCTCACTCTCTGGCAGGGCATGCAAAGAGGTGGCTATAGACTCAGCCGACAATGTCCATCACTTCTTGGGATGATCTGGCCATCAAATTCGTGCACATGTACTCTCCGGTGTCGAAGACCTCAGAGATTTAGCGAGAGATCACTCATTTCCTTCAGGAAGATGATGAGTCACTGCGAGATGCTTGAGAACGCTATTATGGATTGTTCTGGAAGTGCCCCCACCATGGTTTCAGTGATTTATTCACTGTGGGAACTTCTACAGTGCCTTATCCCTAAAGAGCTAGAGGTTGATTGAGTCTTCATGCCCAGGTGGAGACATTCTCACTGATACCCCACCAGAGCTAAACTAGATGATCAGTACTTTGGCCGCCAAGGATCATTCTTGGGGGCAGACCACAAGAGGTAGGAACTATAGAGACAGAGGTGTGCATGCCATGGAGGCAAGATCAGGGCTTGAGCGAGAGGTGACAGAGTTGGTTCAGACATTGAAACAGCCTAACAACCTCATACCAGGCAGAGGCATGGCAAAGTTAGTACGAAGTCACAAAATTCTGCTTTGTAAAAACAACATTAGTTTTTCCTTGTTCAATTCGGATTCATTGTTTTAGGTAGTTTATGATTTCTTTTTGATTTGTAGTGTAATTAAACTTCCTTATTAGTTGGGTAGACGTAGCTAGGCCTATTTAAGCTTTCTATATCGTTGTAAAACGCAGACTTCGATTAATCGAAAAGAAACCGTTTGGTTTGTTCAAGTTTGCGAACTTGTTTTGGGCTTGGTGGATTCCAAACTTGCTGAGCTTGTGTATCGATTGAATAGTCCCCTCAATCGTGGTCGAGCAACTACCCTTCTATACCATACGAGCTTTCCCCAGGCGTGGAATTGTCTGTTGGTTCCGTTTTATCCAAATTTCGTATTAAGAATGCTTTGTTCTTGATTCGAGCTCAATCGATCATTCGATTGAGTTGTTAGCTGCATGACTTTGATAATATACACCCCCTCAGGGCGTATTAGAGTTTGAGAGGAACGGTTCAAGGGCGGTACGAGCATCACAGAGGAGATCTAGTCAGAGTTTTCAGCAAGCAACGTTATGGCATTTTATGATTATGAGTACAAACTGGAGATAAGGTCGGGATTTTAAGCATTGAGTTTGCC